ACAGGGCGTTTAATTCTGATGATGCGGTAATGACATTGAATGTGTGTTCTACACCTAAAAATAAGATGCATAAGAGGAGAGTTTGGATAAACATATAATATTAGAGCAAGACCAAGTCAAGGTAATGTAGAAAATGAGCCTATAGTGCACTTGGACCAAACGGGAGAAAGGACAAAGATTACAGACAAAGAGAAAAGCGGTGTTGAAGCAGGGTCAGATATGAGAAAGAGAAGCAAAGAAAGGAAAGTTTTTTTGCAGATTCATTCTCTCTGCTTCTAGTGTCTCTTTTGCCCTCAAACTAATTTCAGTTTTGACTGAGAGATAATTCTGGTGCATTACAAGCATGCTGCCAGGTCTACAGTCATACCAGAGTTGAATTGATTAAACCAGATATATTGCCTAACATATCAATGAAGGTGTGCAGTTGTACAAGCCTGTGGTAGAGCTTAGATGTTAAAATATAGCTAAAATACAGGACTTGAATGGAAGGGGGCAAATAACTGCCTTTGTCTCGAAACATCAAAAAGTATATATTGTGGACAATGTCTCTACTTCTGGATTATCTACTACTATCTACTGGATTTTCATCACCTATACTGTTTTGTTTGAGGCTGAATTACTGCATCAATTATAAGCACTTAAACCAGCCTCCTGGGAACTACAGTTCTGTGTTTTAAAAAGCCACAAATATTCATTTAAATTGATTCCTTAACTAAAGGAGGCAATTGCTAATACCGTACCGTATTTTTTGGACTATAAGGTACACTTAAAATCCTTTAATTTTCTCAAAAATTGACAGTGAGCCTTATAATCAGGTGTGCCTTCTGTATTAACTCTGGTTGTGCTTACTGACCTTGAACCAATTATATGTGGTTATTGTGAATGAGTTGAAGAAAGTTTGACTTATCTGACTGTTTTGTTTTGCTTATTGGGCGGCTGTGGCTGAGTGGTTAGAGCAGTCGTCCTCCAATGCAAGAGTTGGGGGTTTGAATCCACCAGCAGTCACATGCCGAAGTGTCCCTGGACAAGACACTGAACCCCTCACTGCCTCTGATATGTGTCCCATCGGTGTATGAATGTGATAAAGCTCTGATTAGTCTCTTTATAATGATATGTTCAATTAGCTTTGTAGAGATCTAGTAGAGTGCTGTATGAATGGGTAAATGAGGACACAGATTGTGTTGTAAAGTGCTTTGATCAGATAGAAAGGTGCTATATAAGTGCAATCCATTTAATGTACCTTATGATACGGTACACCTTATGTATGAAAACGGACCTGTTCATTGATATTGTACCTTATAATCCAAAAATACTAAACTATCATTGGCACTTGGTAAAAGAAAATTTGATGAGTCTGTATATGTGAGAGTAGCTCTGCTGCAGCTCCCAAGATGGCCGCTAACGACCTACACCTGGACCTTTGATATCTGAACCCTGTTGCTGGGACTCATGCATCTCGGGACTCCTGAACTCACTCCAGTACCGAAGAAGCTGTAAGACAGAAACAACAAATCAAATCCTTTCCTCCTGTGTCACTTACCTGCTCCCGACCTGAACAAACTATTTCCCTCTTCCAGGAGTTCCAGTCCCAGGGCCCTGTATATATATTGAATATATTTTTCTAGTATCACTGTAAATAAACATCACTTTTCGTAGCCTGAGTCTTGTGTCGTTCTGGGTCTCGTTACAACTGGGTTGCCCGCACATACAACAGTATATATACACACACACACCTATATATATATATATATATATATATATATATATATATATATATATTTATATATATTTTTTTCTTTTATTTTTTTTTTTTTTCTCACTAAACTTAACCAAGTAAATATTTTGTTAACACCAACAAATGGAGGTTGTGCGTATATGTAAAGACAATATTAATAATTATAATAATACAAGGCCAAGTACACAGTGAAACATTGTTGCTATACACTATTAATATTTGCAACGTAAATGCAAGATTTTCTGTCTAGTTTTATCTTTTTTTTTTTCTTACGCACACACGCATGCCCTCATACTCGCACTCCCAATTTACCATAATTATTACCTTCCAGTGAGCCCCTTTGCTGTTGCAGTGTCAGGGTGCTGAGAAAGATTACTGAAAAGTGAGGCAGATAGAATTCATGTGACTTCAGATAATTACATGCCTGTAAATCTTCCCAGGAAATTAAATGATAATCTGGTAAACTGCTTAGGTCATAAGATAATGGAAATGGTAGAAATACGTACAGTTAGGCTTGGGCTATGTAACCACTGAACTACAGTTAATCATCAGGGCTACAGGTAATCATCATGAGCAAATGACCAAACTGAACTAAAGCCGGGAATAAAAAAAAAAAAAAAAAAGTAGTTTTATTGCTTAACTTTTTTTAATATCTCCTAAAACCATCATGTAATAGGTGAAATGTAATTTGCTTGAAATAAAGAAGCAGCAGCTCAAATATTCACACTTACTTAAAAAGCACAAAGTGATTTGCATATGCACATCAAGACACAAACACGAACGGCATCATGGAGAGGAACATATGGTCTTGACACACTTCAGTTGAAAATCTTCATGATTGAGGGTGTGTTTATACAGTTGATGTGTGTGCTTTAACAGACTGATTGTTGTCCTCACTGCAGTTCCTGAAAATGGTGCAACATCTTTAGCCCATTACTATAAAAAATGCAGTAAGTTCTGTGCTCTTGTTCTGTCCCACGGAGATGAAAGGATTGTTGCCAACCAAAACTAGGTAAACATCATTAAAACAAGGCAGTCTTTAGAGCTGTTGCTTCACATCAAGAAGGTTGCAGGTTCACAACCCAGCTGGAATGTGTGGAGTCATGCTCTCACCGTGCTTGCATGGATTTTCTCATTGTACTCTAGTTTTTTCCCAACAAATCAAAAACATGCATGTTAGGCTGATTGGTAACTCTAAGTTGTCCCTAGGTGTGAACGAAAAAAGTGAATGTTTGTCTCTGCTGTCTCTATGTGTCCCTGTGATGGACTGGAGACCTGCCCAGGGTGTCCCCCACCTCTCACACAATGACTGCTGGATGTGGGCACCAATCACCCGAAAAGGAAGAAGCGGTTATAGATAATGGATGGATGATTGTATGGTCACTCTCAGTTGTCAATAGGTGAGGATGTGAATGGTTGTTTGGCTTCTCTGTGATCAGTTCTACATCGGAGAAACTAAGCAGCTGCTGGCCAGAAAGATGGCCCAGCACAAAAGAGCAACATCATCAGGCCAGGACTCTGCGGTCTACACTCATCTCCAGGCCAGCGGTCACTATTTCAGGGATGAAGATGTTCACATCCTTGATAGAGAGGAACGTTGATTTCAGAGTGGAGTGAAGGAAGACATCTTTGTGAAAAGAAACCGTCCATCATTAAAATGGGCCGGAGGCGTCAGTGTCCAACTGCAACCTTCTTACAATGCTGTTATTGCTAGTATCACTCAGCCGTCTGTGAATAGCAAGCGGCCATCAGAGCACTAATGATCGCTCATTAGGCTGATGGTCCCCTTTTAGCATGTGAACAGCTAGTTTTGGCTTTCTCCAGCAACTTGGTTGATCCTCTATGAGAAGGTGCTGTTTATAAAACAAGTTTAGTGCAGCTCCTCAGACTGACAAAGTATTTTGGATAAAAGACAAAAAGTTTCTACAATTTAAAAAAAAAAAAAAATATATATATATATATATATATATATATTTAATTTATTATTATTATTATTTATTTTTAATCCGTCCAGAGGACCTGACTTAAGTTTGTTTGGCTTGTATGGCTTATTGGGCTCTAAGTGGCCATGTGATATGCCACCTGTCTAGGGGACATATCATCTTTCACATAAAAAAAAAAAAAAAAAAAAGTTAGAGTTAGGCATCAGTCCCACTATTACCATATGTTTTTCATTCAACCTTTATTTAGACAGGTAAATCCCATTGAGCCTCGAGGACTCATTTACAAGAGAGACCTGATTTCAACAAAGAATGATGACAACAATGGACAACAGCGACAACAATAAACAGTTATAAAAAGTCATACTACAGGGTTTTTTTTTTTTTAACAAATAGGATGGCTAAAAGAAACAAGTAACAAAAAACAGCTAGATTCTAAGGCGAATGTAGAAAACTAAAAACAGGAACATGTCTGCATTGGTCCCTGCCAGGAGTCCAACAGATTCTTAAAGCCACTTAGAGAGGTCAAGGTCGAGAGCTTCAATTGTTTTTGTAAGATATTCCAGAAAACAGGAGCGGAGTAGGAGAAGGCCCTCTTGCCTAGTTCAGTCCTCACTGAGGGAACACTGCAGGTAATAATGTCCTGAGAGTGCACGCTGTAGCTGCACTCACGCAGAGAAAAAATGGTAGATCATTGACAAATATAGCTAGTTAGCTTTGGTGTCCTCTTTAGGTATATATGGCATGATCACCCACTTCGGATGTTATCAGCCATTAAATGGCTGTTATTAGTTGTCATCATCCCCATATGTACCGGTCAGATTGCCCCTCCTGTACCTCCCAGTGGGTTTAACGGTACGTTGTTAGTGTTGTTAGCGATGATAATAGGCTCTATTTTTAGCTTTGTTAGCACTCATAATAGCTTCACGTGGTTAGGTTTGGAATAAAGGGTCTGGCGGTTAGGTTTACGTCTGGGTTAGGTTTAGGCACAAGGGTAAGGGGGTTAAGTTTAGGGTTGGTCCTCAGGGTCAGATGTAAGCTTACGTTTAGGAAAAGGGTTAAATAAGCTGAAAACAACTAAAAAGACACTTCCTGGTTTACCCCCATGTGACGCTGCCTATTATCAACAATAATAACGATAATAACGTACCTTTAAACCCACTAGGAGGTAGGTGGGACAGTTTGACCGCTACATTTAGGGATGATAACAACTAATAACGACCATTTAATGGACTGATAACATCTGAAGCCACTCGCATGATGGGGTGCTGTACTTCACTTCCAATAAATCTAACGTGCAAAACTAAACTGTAAACGTCATACAGAGTGCATATCAGTTATGGCATTTCAGTGGCTCAAAGTCAAATCATATCTAGGTTTATTTACTCCCTATAGTTGGGATAAAACAAAAAAAACAAACAAAAAAAAAAAACCACTGTATTAGTGCCAGCAGCACGGTGGCGCAACTGGTAGAGTTGCT